CATTCTTTAGAACTGTAATTTTCTTTTCCTCTGTGCTATCCTATTGCCAAACTTTTCTGTTCTGTGTTTGAATTGAGTGTTTTGATTCTCTTCATCCCCCACTCCAAATCCTTCCTACTATTTTATTCTTTTTTTCTTTTTACTCACTACAACTCAGTTTCCTGTGTAATCTGAATATATCTCCTTATATTTCGTCCATTTTCGTTAAATTTAACGGATTCCGTCACCTTTACAATTTAGTTCAAAACATGAGGTGTCGTGTTGTATAGTTTGAAACCATGAGAGGGCTTTTCTGTGTATTAGATTAACCACAGGGGATTTTTTTGTTTTTTACCCATTTTTTAAATTTACTTGGAATACTGTACTCGTATATTTACTAATTACTAATTGTAATTACTAATTAGCTAACTTAATTATAATTACACTTGGAAGTCAAATTTTGATGGAAGTTAGCATGTTGGAGTTTAGTTTGACAATTAAATTTAGAATTCTTGTTTATTTCAATGTTGTTTAAGAATTGAGATTATGAGCTAGGGCTTAGGATTATGAATTTTTTTTTTTTTGCATATCATGTTTATTTGAATTAAGTTGATTGAATTTTATCAAAAACATATGGGATATTATTTTGTTACAACAATTTTTTAGAAAAAAATAAAATATTTTAATTCACTATTGACATTTTTAATTTTGGATATTACTGAATTACTGATTTTTCAATCCAATTCACCAAACTAAAGTTTGGAAGGTAATCGAATATTGGTTTTAAACAACCGATTCCTTAATTACTGGAATTTTTTTAATCAAATTTTCGATTACTGGCAATGGACGCCTCTACTTATAACCTCTCTTATTTTATCACCAAAGTCAACCCTTCCCCTGTCAATACGGTAACTTCAATATATTTTAATGGAATTTTGTGTGACTAAAATTGGCCCATTCTCCAATCAAATTGGAATTAAATTGATATTTTTAATTCACTTAAAATGTTAATTAACAGCTTTTTCAATTAAATATCCTTTATGCATTTGCAAAAATTGTTAAAGATAACTTAGATGGGAGACAAATATGTTTTGGCAAAATCATAAGGACCAAATTCGTATTCCCTCCCCGGTTTTTTTTTTTGGTAAGATAAAAAAAAAAGAATTATTAAGATAAAAAATAAAAGGGTTTAAGTAGCAGGGTTTAAGGGATAAGGATTTCATTTCATTTTCCCCCAAATTTTAGCAGATCATTTCTTTTCTCTTCATCAATGGCGTCTTCACTCTCAAGGACACTTTGCCGTAGACTTCTTCTCTCAAACCCCAGATCAAAGCCCTCGACTCTCTCTTATTCCTTTTGCTCAAAAAGCTTTTCTTTTATGGACGCCTCCTCAGAGTCGGACGAACCCTCCGCTGTCAATTCGGTCCATTCCGATGCTGAGTCACCAGCCCCCTCTTCATCTTCTGTTTCTTCCTCAGACTCAACTAAGCAGCAACGCGTCATTCGGAGTCGTCCCCTCGAAAATGGGTTGGATGTTGGCATTTACAAGGTCCAATTTTTGCTGAACATTTCTGAATTTTTTTTTGGAATTTATTGTCATGGTAATAACTGTTAGAATATAGTTTCAAAGTTTAATTTGTTTTTACATTTCGACAGTGATCTTGTCTTCTTGTTTTTTCTGTGATGTGTAAAAATTGTTGTGCGTTTTTGGTGGGGTTACTTTGCACAAAATTTTGTTAGACAGGATGAAATTCTTATTAGTTTATAATGAAAATTGCTATCAGGTCAAAGATTAGAATTTTATTAGGACCTGACGGAAGTTTGTGGCAGGGCAAGATTGAACTTTTATTATGTTCTAGCTGATATTTTTTGTTTGTTTATACGGGGAAATTTTGAAATTTTTGTTTTTGTTTCTTTTCAAATTTGGCGTGTGTTTTCCCCCGCCCCGCCCCCCGGGGGGGGGGGGTGTTGGCCACATTGATCAGGAGTCTAGTTTGTAAGGGAATTCTTTTTTAAAAAAGCATATAAAATGTTCTTTCATAGTCTTCGGATTAAGAGGAATTTTGCATGTACAAAACGAAGCTGATTTGCTTCCGTAACTCTATCATGTATGTGGAACAGGCTGTATTGATTGGTCTGGTGGGGCAGGCTCCTCTTCAGAAGAAGTTAAGGAATGGGAGAGCAGTCACTCTGCTGTCGCTTGGGACAGGTGGTATTCGGAACAATAGGAGGCCATTTGATAATGAGGAGCCTAGAGAATTTGCAGATAGGTGTGCAGTTCAATGGCACAGGGTTGCAGTTTATCCTGAGAGGTTAGGAGCGCTAACTGTGAAGCATGCTGTACCAGGGTGAGCCTGTTTGGATTTATTTAGGCTTCTGTGATTGACATTTTGCAAAGGTTATGGCTCTTAAGTGTTGAAATTCTAAAAGTTATTGCGTATAACATGTCAAACTCTTATGTATACTAACATGAACTTTTAATTCAATTGAAAGAGGTGAAAAGAGACTTAGAATCCAAATTAATAAAACTTGGATTATGTCCTGTGTTCTGCTGGTTTCTGAGAAACGACAGCTCATAATTGGGAATTTAATACTAAAGTGAGTCAGTTTTGTAGATTACTTGGCAGACCACCAAATTAGATGGTTAATGTTGTGGTTCGAGAATTTCACCTTTTTTTTATTCAATTTGTTGGTGTTTGTCCAACAAATCCTGCTCCGTAAGTCTTACCCCTTTAGTTGTTACTATTTTCCCCTTTAGTTGTTACTATTTTTATTGATACGAACTGGTGGTCCTTGGGCATTGTTACTATGTTTAATCAGTCTACTTTCTCATCATAGTTGATTTATTAAAGATTGTAGCCTATGGAGATTTACATTGGCTGTTTTTCTTTGTTCTCTCTCTCTCTCTCTCTCTGTTTCTTTCTACTGAGTTAGCTTTGAGCATGATTCGCCCTGCACTTATACTCATCAGCATGCAATGTTCTTCACTTAACAACCATGAGCATCCCTTGCTCGCACGTGTTTGTGCATCAATCAATTGCTCACTTTCTTTTGAGTTATGGTTATATCCTTAATGTTATTGATGTTTTCATCACCTCACAGGTCAGTCTTGTACGTGGAAGGAAATCTGGAGACTAAGATATTTAATGATCCAATAACTGGTCTAGTTCGACGTATACGAGAGATTGCAATACGCCGAAATGGTAAGTTTATCACCCTGTTCCCACATACTATTATAATTACACGGTTGCAATACTCCAGAAACAAGAAACTATGTTTCTTGAAGATACAGTAGCAATTCAATTTGTTTTATTTTCTGATTTCATGTTGGTAAACTACATATTTCTGTATTTATATTGATGCTGTTTTTTCAGCTATTTGCAGCTTCTTTTTTTTTTTTTTTAATGATGTTTGAAAGAATTTTATGTATGTTAGACTATGGTGTCTCATCTCTTATGATGTCAAAATATGAAAGCTTTTGGTCACTTGAAAACGTGACTAAACTGTTTGCATGACTGCTTAATGAATAGGATATACAGTATCTGTTAAGAGATACAAATGGAGCACTCCAATTTTGCTTTTCAATTGATCTATCCCTATAAAGTTACATGTATAAAGCTTGTTCTGTCAATGAATTTTTGGAAGTTTCATTTATGATCCCAAAAAAAAAAAATGGTGAAACACTGATAATATGGTGAACTCTGGTTATGTGGGCCTTGTAGGTCGGCTGGTGTTTTTGGGACAAGGAAGTGAAAACCAGAAACCATCACAAGGAGATCTGAGAAGTGTTGGCTATTATTAAAGCGAATCAAGTGTGAAAGCAATGGGAGACTCTTTGAGAGAGTATTTTAAATCACTCTTGAAATTATGTATTAGCATAGCTGAGGGAGGAGATTGGGAGGGCCAGGTCTAGTCTGATTAATAAATTGTACTATTTGTCTTGCTAATCTTGATGTCCCTTTCTGAAGTAGTCCGTGGTTGTTAGTGGGAGAATATATTCCCAGTATTGCTTATGGTCGCGTTTGATAGCCAGTTTACTTGTTAGTTGGAAAAGTACTTGCCTTGGAATATTGAAGTAGCTCTCTCTCTCTCTCTCTCGTTTATTGATGCTGGTGTTTCTTATGATCATAGATCATTTAACGGTGTTATTCCACAAATCATTAGGTATATTCTTGCAATAATCTGTTGGTGTTACTTCCAAGAGGGAGATAAGTGGTGAATGTGGTAGAGACATTAGAATGGTAGAAGAAAGCAATGATGTCTGGAACTAATTAACGAAGGGTCAGCCATTCTTTCTGCTGTACTTGCTGTTCCTTGTGTGTTATGTGTTATACATTGTTGGGGAGATGGAGAGACTTATTTAGCAGTATACCTGGCAATGGAGTAATCTTATTGAGATATCAATTCATTGTCATATTTTAGCTCGATAGTAGATTGGATTCTAATAATCAGATCCAAATGACTAGTTTCAAGAATGGACAATAGGCCTTCGGGGACATCCGATAAAATTGGAACGATACAGATAAAATTAGCATGGCCCTGCGCAAGGATGACATGCACAAATCGAGAAATTGTCCAAATTTTTTTGGGCTATTTTGCAGTCAGTGTCGAATTCAAATACCTGGCTCTTCTGTGATGATCGTGGGCTATGATGCATTGTGCCATATGTTCTGCCACTTTGGACCGCTCTGTTCATCAACACTCTTTGCATGCGCCAAATTCAGCTTTTTTTTTTTTTTTTGGTAGAAAAACCAAGTTTTGCCTTAATCAACAGAAAGACTTACTGAATTTCACAGTCGATGTGAGAATTGTATTAGTGAGCTAGTCGTAAGAACTCTTGTAAGCGAACTCTTGTAAGCGATTTGTAATATCAAAAGCATGTTTTATGGCGACTTCAAGTTTGGACTAAAAAGCAAGAGCCAGTTAGAATTGACAAAATGGACTATCATTAGCAATAGCTGAAGTGGCAATAGCAGGAATTATCCCACTGCAAATTTGAAAGTCCTCAAGTACTTTTCAATGTGCAAAAACTTGATTTCCTTTAATTGGGCCACATTCCGAATTCAGAAAGCCGGCAAAACTAGATGGCCCAATAGGAAAGAGCCTGCTGACCTGACGATACTGAATTCAAAGCGATCAACTATCCTGGCTTATGGCTTGGTTTTCTCCTTTCCTTATCCACAAAATCTGTCTCTATGGAGGAGAAAACAGACATATCATGATTTATGAAAGTTATGGGAGAAACACCAGCAGAAACAGAGCTAGAATACAACCGAATAAAATGTGGTCAAATCAGAAACTGATGCAGCACTCACCCCAGTTGCTTCAACCCCCAGCACTACCTCCTCCACAAACTCAAACCATAAGTATCAAGCAATGCTGTAAAGTCTCGCGCAGAGAACTTGCAATTTGCACCAACTCATCTTTGCTATTACTCTTAGGCTCACAGACAGTGGAGCCATTGCACCATTCAAGAGCAAGAGCGGAGGAAATTGAGGATACAAGTAAAGAAACTGAGCAGCTTGTGGAAAGTGAGGAAAATGAAGTTCCTAGGAACTCTGAACTTGTGGAAAGTGAGGTTGTTCCTCCAAGCACCGAACAACCAGTGGAAAGTGAGGATGATCCTCAAAAAACTGAACAACTTGCCCCAGAAGACGATTCAAAGAAAACTGCAGATCCCTGTGGAGAACAAAATCCAACCCAGAGGGCATTTCTTGAAGTGTCAATTGATGGCGTGCCTCTTGGTAGAATTGTGATCGGGCTATACAGTGATAGTGTTCCATTTGGTACAGCCCGATTCAGTGATCTTGTCAGTGGTGCAGCGGGCATTAGTTATAGAAGAAAAGAATTTGTTAAGATCACGCCAAACTATGTCCAACATAGCGGAGTGAGATCATATGGTGTTGATGCTGAGCTTGCGAGGAAGGCTGGAAGCAATTTGGCTGCTGACAGACTCACAGATGAATGGGAAAAGCAGTATGCGGCTTGTCCAGGGACAAAGAATTTGGCCAAAAGCATTGGCATTGTAGTGAGGGATCCTTCAAAACCACCACCCAAGTTGAAATTGATTGCACGCAAAGGGAAGCTAGAGATTGATCAAGAACAGGTGGGAGTGGATCCTAATGGGACAGAATTTGTCATTGCTATTAAAGACTCGCCTGAACTAGATGCATCAACATTAGTGATTGGAAGAGTATTGGAAGGAATGGACGTTGTTGAGAAGATTGGCCAAGTGAAGACAGTACAGGAGAATACCAGTTCTCCCTATTTCAGGTACCTGTTGTACTCTCTCTGCTTAACAATGCCAACATGGCATTACATAGATGAGCAACTCTATGCGCACATAATAGGACAAATAACATACAGCAAATGATCATTTTCCTAGATACAATTTGAAATTAACATTTCTTCTTTATGAATTGCCCAACAGGGTAGCAAAGTTGATAGGAGACAAAAGGGCTGTTGTAGCAGAGAGAGGCTTTAATCGACCATATTCAAAGGTGTTGATTACCAATTGTGGGTTGATAAAATGAATGAAGCCGCTATAGATCACTTATTTCCATTATGTAATAGAGGACAAGATTGTGCGGGGAAATTCTTTCACATTGATGATTCTCAGTAAATTTTTGTGCTGTCATAAATTGTGCTGTCATAAATTGGAGTTATGCATACATGGCCAGTACAGCTGCAATCGCAACAAGCTGAAAATAATGAAAAGCTATTACACTCATCCTTAAAAGGAAATCTTTAAATTCAAGTAGGCAAGAAAAACTAGAAAAGCTAAGTATGCATACGTGAGTGTGCTTTCCTGATTAGCTCTGCAATCTCACAATCATTTGACATGCTGCAAAGTCAACACTATCCCAGGCACTAGCTCGCATGAGTATGCTTCGTTCTTTTTACAGGTGGGGAACTGAAAAGCTTTCTGATTGAAGCAATTGGATCATCCACCTATATCAAAGAGAGGGCATAAGAATGCATTTGACACATATACATTTACAAAGGAGGAAGCCAAGTAGACAGAGAAAATTAAATAGGCTAAGACTGCGGCTACAAGACAAAGAATTCACCCAACAAGCATTTCAGTTTGGAACCGTATCTCAAATGGGTTTAGGTAAAATTTTACATTCTAGGCTGAATCACTTGAGACTAAGATGAAAACTGGTTGCAGCAACTAAGAAGCAAATTGATACAGATGCTGTACGTGATGCTCTTATTATCTTGGATCACAACATTGAAATGATAGTAACTAGCTATTCCAAGTGCTATGCATACTCATATACTGTACAAGGTGAACCAAGTAGCATAAAATTCTATGATTAGGAGCATAATTCAAGATGCTTGTTTAGCTACAGCAGATTGAAGAGTACCAACCAGAAAAATACATGTACCAGTAAACCAAAATTGCAGACCACGATAAACACCAAATGCGAACTATACTCTCTAATTTTGGCATGCATATTGTAATTACTGCTGCTATTGTAACACTTCATCATTTACCTCAATTAAGGAAGATGGTGGATTTTCAGCAAAGGACTCCGAGAATTCTTTATGGCGTTGTAAAGCAGACAGAGTTTGTTTCCATCCAGGAGTAGAATTACCAATGGATGCAATCCACGGACAAAAAAGTTTGTGCTGCCTGATCGGATCGAACTCCATCGAGTTGTGCAGTGATTCTTGTTCTGGATTCCTTCCTGTAGAACAGCAGATAAAAAGCTTACCAATATTTTTCAGACTAAGAACTAACCTCTGAACCCTTTAGAAGTAGACCAGATAAAATATCAGTAACTACTTTTTTTACATCAACTGCTAGACAGTCAAAATAACATGAAAGTAGGAAATGGGTAAGAACCTTTACAGTGTATTATATATGTTAACATACCAGGACACATATCATGCTTCACATATAGTATGATGTTATATGCATCTGGGAAAACACCATTCAACATCATAAAATGTTCAAGCTTGATATGACAATTTCTCTTAATTAATGGGTACAGAAGCAAAAATCATAAAAAGACCAGAAAAGAAGACACACTATTTTTTTCTTTGTCAAGGTAAAAGTTCAAACATGAGACACTGCAAAAAACGAAGATAGCTCTTTTACCCAAACTAGTGTGAGGAACATTGCTGTCTCCAGCCTGCCCTCCAGACTCCACAGCATTGTTACTTTCCTTATCACCTGGCAAGTTGTCATTTTTGCATGTGGCAGTCTCAACGACCATCCCAACATTATTTTTGACATTACAGCCGGAAAATTCCCCAATTTGTGACCTGTTACAGTCCTCAACTACAGAATCAACTGTCTCGGCACTACCCACATTTTTTACTAGCATGTCAGCACTACCCAAACCTCCTCCTACAACCTCCATGTTTTCAAGTTGTTTTTCATTATTGGAAACTGGTTCACCAACTTGATCATTTGCCTGTTGCGATGTATTCCCTTCCACCAATGCCATTTCTTGGTCTTTACCGACCATATAGTTGGTGGAAAATCGAGCTCTCAAATTCCGTCCAATCAGAGGCAAAGATATAGTTGCTCTATAATTTTGCTTTGCAGGTGGAGGACCACCAGCAATTGTCAAATTCAAAGTACATGTCTTCTCATTTGAAGATGTAGAAGCCGCAAAATCATTACGACCCTCATTGCTGGAAAAGGAGGTCCCAGGAGCACTATTCTTGGATTGGGGAGTATCATTTTGACCATCAACTTCAGTATATCCAACCAACCTCAGAAACTCTATAGGTTGTGGAACTGAAGAAAAAGCCCACAAACCAATACTAGCACCACAAAGCCTGCACTCAAAGACAACGGAATTGGGTTCATAGAGAACTCTCTCAGAAGCCTGAGAATCATTATCAGCCTCCAAAACCCCTTTAGCAGAGGAACGGATGACACTCAGATTAAGCTTATCAGAGGCTAGATGAGGTTGATTTGCCAAATTTACATTGTTGCTAGAATCTTCTTTTCCAACCTTGCAATCAACAGTATAAGGTAATGAATGAAATTCCCAGCCAAAGAGACTGATTAGCTTTTGTGCCTGCAAAATACAATGTTCATGTTAATAAACATGATAAGATAGAAAATTCTAGAAGGTTAACCAACTAACATAATGTTAGTACCAATACAAATCATGGACCCGTTCAGTTCAAACCAAAAGCAAAAATCACACTGCTAACAAATACAAGAATCCGGGAATAGCACTATTATTAGCTGGTCAAGAAAGTGAAATTGAAACAAGCTCATGACAGATGACTCCAAAGGATCTGTCTGACTCTGTTTGTGTATGCATAAACACACATTAAATGGATAGCTTCTTAGCATTCCATCAAATATACAATTTAAACGAGCTTTGAGCTTCAAGATTGTAGATCATAACAAAAAATAAATGTAACGGGCAGAAATTGATGAAGCAGCTAACAAATACTGGCATTAAAGACAATCGAGCTGCTGAAAGTCATGCAAAATGGCTGAAGACTATTCTTTACAGTAGGATATTAAATATCCCTCTACAAGTGCATCACTTGCATACGTAATGTTTGAACCTGATAGTATGAAGCAGAAGATGCTGAAGGAGGGTTATTTATGAGACTTCTACTAGCATCAGCAGATTTATTCTTCTCCGCACCTGAAGGTCCTCCAAAAAATTGCTCCAGCTGAGGGCTTCTTATGTAATCAATAGCGGAAGGTGAAATGATTGGGAGAGCTGAAAGCTGCAATAAAGCTGAACACCTTTTTTTATAGTCATCAACTAAAACAGTAGTTGGCTTCGGGGGAAACTCTGCAAGTTTTTCGTCACAGATATTGTCCACCCATGGGCAAAGTAGTTTGTGCCCAGTATCTAGCTTCAAACTGAATACCAAGGCTGCCTTCTCAACTGGTAATGAGTCACCAGGAACACAGTAGAAGAGAACCAAAAAAGAAAGAAAAGATATCAGAGAGAAACAAAGAAATGAGTTGCTTCACAAATCAGCTACAACATGAATAATTTGCCCTCCACATAGCAGAATGGTAAAGAGAATCGTGCTTACCTTGTTGCTGTGTCCAAGATGATGGAGTAGAAAAAAGAAGACGTGCACCACATGATTCACAGGCAAGGGTATCCATATCCACATTGATCCAACCCCTCCTAGCGCAATTCACTGCACTAATTGTCTGATATTGATGGAGAGAATTAATTTTCTAATTCTGCCTTATCTTCCAGAGTTTGATGGAAAGAGAGAGACAATAAAGGCAAACAATACCAAGAAATATATGTCTTACTTTCAAATGGAGAAAGGTCATATTTGTAAGAATTTAATCCAATTTACATACAAGAAGTTTGGAACTGCAACATAACCCATATCTTAAGTCCACTTAAATATTTATGGTACCAGATATTATCTCTCTACAAGCTGTACTTCAAATCCACCAGTACATCCGTACCTAAATGTACAAATATGCTAAAAGGATGTTTTGGTAAGTCTGGAAAATCTCACCTAATTTTCTGGACAAGTCTCCTTGAAAAGATGAACCACAGTGGATTCTAAATGTGGTGTATATATTGGTGATGTGGGAATGGTGGAGTTTTACAAAATATAAATTTCTGCCTTCATGAATATGGAGAAAAATGGGTGCCAGAATGTATGATGTTATGAGCACCACAATGGCCACTAAAGGCAAACATCCAGGTTGAAACAATTTTGACAAATGATGCTATAATTATATGGCAAAGTGGATCAGCTTATGGAGCTTCTAGCATGTCATTAAAATAGGCAAGATTACTTTATGCTGTAACAATGAAATGTTGCCACGCCTCATTGATCTTCTTGTGGATATCTCATGGAAGTTTTATCAATTCTCAACTATCCGAAAAATTTTGTGTACTAGAATTGGAGTTATAACTTGGATCAGGAAAATTTAGACAAAACTTTAACAGCCAATGCCCATGATTGATATTTGACAAGAAAAGAATTAAGTCTTGCAATTTAGAACCAATCATCCAAAAAAAAAATCCAATTCCCATTGCAGAGAGCAGGCTCTGAGATTTGTACCTGTGGTTTAGCAAACCAAGTCATGGACTTGAAAGTAGACAACCTCCTAAATAGATCGTCACGGTCCCATGGTCTGCAAGATGGAGCTTGTACTGAACCACTTGAACCGGATGACACCTGCATTTCCTCCGTTGGATTTAACCTCGATTTTGGACCAAGTATGCCCAATGCAGAGGATACATTCGGCCGTTTCTTGCCTTTCAACCACCGAACTCCATCAGCACTACTGTTTTAACCAATTTTGTCAAAAAAAAAAAAATAAAAATCATTGGCAACAAGTTTCACTCTCTCTGGTTGTAGCAGTCCAATTCTTATTGACAAACACAAACACACAAAAGAAATGCAAGATCAATTTCCTTGCTTGGAGCTATCCAATTCTTTTTGCTTGAAGCAAAAAAAAAAAAAATTGAAATACATGCACGCACACAACAAACACACACAAAACACTCCCTTTAAGGGTACATTTTGGTATTTCAGGTAGAAACTTCTATTTTAACCACTCAAACACAGTATCATACTCTACAAACAAGAAAAAATCAACCAAAGTTATACAATATTAATAATTAATATTTCGGCTTTATAGCGCTTATGCATCAACATTTCAGTTATCAGCCAAAATCATACAATATTAGTAACTAGCATTTCAGCCTTAGAGCTTATGCATCAACATTTCAGTTCACAATAACTTCGAAATCCAAACAAAAACAATTAAAATACAGAGAAAACAACGAAGTGACAACTTCAGCAGCTAAAGTTCACTTTCAACCAAAAGGAAAAAAAAAAAAAAAGAGTACATAAAAGAGCAATGAGAAACCGTTGATAAAAAATTGTGAGAGAGTTATATAAAGAGAATTAACGAGGAAAGCTGAAGAAGAAGACCTGGTGGTGGTGGAAGCAGAGGAGCCGTTATTATTATGATGATTATTATCGCTATTATTAGGCTTGGATTTGGTGGTGGCGGTGGTCGGAGATTCCGGAAACAGCCTCTCTAATATTGCTTCGATCCTCTTTTGTGCCGCCATCTCTCCTTATTGCTAAATTTTTTGGCCTGAGAAAAAAAAAGGCTCAAAAGAATCTGGACATAATAGGATTTACTTGGATTTCGAAGAGCTAAATATGGTAGTAAACTGGAGCTGTTAAATTAATGAGCTGTCCATCGGAAAATTTTTTGAAATCTTTTTTTTTTATATATATAAACATACACAGAAATATATTTATTATTTTGATACCAAAAGGTTTTCTTTCATTCAATTATAAGGTTTTGGGAAAAGTTTTAGTTAGGCATTTGTTTGAAATTTTTTTTATATTTCTAGCCGATTTTTTGTCATAATTTTCCTAAAATTTATTTCTTGGTTCAGCTATTTTCCTTAAAAAATTGAAAACAAGTATTTCATTCCCTTAAAGAAATATTTTAATCACATTCATAAGTGGATTCAAGTATTATTGTATTTATTTTATTTAAGAACTTCAAGTATTGGTATTATTGCTTGAAAATTGTTATTCTACCATGTTTTGTCAACCTATATTTTATTTATTTATATTAGACATAGTTGGACCTTTCTAATGAAGCCCAATATTCGTATGCTGTTCTTGGACGCGAGACTGTATGACAGTATGGGGTTGTATGAACTAATAATGCTTTTTTATCCTTAGCCCAGCCCAATTCAAAGTGCAAGCTCAAGCCCGTTTCTTAATGCAGTTTTTTTGTGCCTCAGCTAATCTGTCTCTCTCTCTCCCTCCGTCTGTCGGCGGGGCAATTCGGAACTAGAACACCTTCGGTGGTGAGATTGGCTATTCAGGTAAGTAATACTATAGAGCGATTTCAGCACTGCCCTTAGATTAAACCCGTTTCTTAAGTTTAGATTCTAAGTTCAATGGGTGCTTAAATTTACAAGTCTATTTATGAAATGAATTTCTTTTGGGAATAAAATCGAACAGGTGGAGGGCAATGGAGAGCGAAGAGGATGCAATGAAGAAAGAACGGGTAGTGGAAGCTCGAGCTAGAAACATTAGTCATAATGTGAGGTGTACGGAATGTGGGAGTCAGTCCATTGAAGATTCTCATGCTGACATTGCCATTTTGCTCAGAAAGGTATCCCATTTTCTCCTCCCAATTAACACAACACTCCCCGCCAAGCTAAATTCATTCACTGTGGATATTTATTCATGAGCCAAAAAAATTTTTCCGGGCCGAATTGTATGCGGAGGATATGGTAAATTTAAGCAATTTTAACACAACACTGAAGCATCTTTCTTCTGTTTGGTGGTGTTGTTTACATGCTCTTCTTGCATTTTACCAAAAATTTATCTAGCCACTTGCTGCATTTGTTTTCTTATTTATGCTTCCATAAACTCACTAGGAGCTGTATTGTTTACGTTACCTGTTGTAGTTAATTCGGGATGAAATCCGGTCTGGGAAAACTGACAAAGACATCTACAAAAAGCTTGAGGATGATTTTGGTGAGACGGTGCTTTACGCGCCAAAATTTGATATGCAGACTGCTGCTTTATGGTTGTCTCCGGTCTGTAACTCTCACTACCATTGGCGCGCCCCCTTCTTTATTTTAGGGTTCTATGGAAATTGATCACTTATTTTGAACCTTTTCTCAAACAGATTTTAGCTGCGGCTGCCGCTGGAGGCATATGGGCTTATCAAAGGCACAGACAAAAAACAAATGTGCACATTATGGCTCTGAACCTAGTTAGAGGAGTTCCATTGACCCCAAAGGAGAAAGAAACCATGCTCGATGTTCTCACACCACCCCCTCCCGAAGGAATCACTTCTTCCTTTTGGTGGAGGAGGTGGGTTGGTCGATGAAGTTTCTCGCCTGCATCACATCACATTCACTGGATGTGCTGAACTCCGCGGACTTGAATCATCACATTACCCGGAGCTGGCAACTAACTGATATGCATGCAGGAGAAATGGTCCCTGGCCAAAGTTTCCACTGACCTGTTTCGAGATTAGGAGAAGTATTTTGATTTGTCAAGTTAGTGGAAGTGTTGGAGTTAACTGGTTGTATATGAAATGTATTTGGTACCATACAAACTTAGCTGATGGTTATGCTAATCATGGGTGTCATTGCCATTTGAGCTGTTAACGTTTGTGATTCTTAAATTAAAGGTTGCAAGACTGATTCTAGTGAAATACGTTCTGAAGAGCATATTTGAGTGTGCTGCTAGTTTTGCAGTCTTTGGGGATTGATCATTTCTGAAGAGCATCATGATGGGCTCCAATATTTACTCCCGGATAGAAATTGTAAAATGTGCGGGGGCGCGATTTACCAGAGAAGAAAGATAAAAGCATATAGTTAGCGAATCCATCAAAACCGTTCGCGTTAACGATTTACCAGAGATCGAATATCTTTTTTCCCACCCTTGGTAAAAGTTAAATTAATCTTCTTCTTGGTGTCCCATGTCGCCACCTACCTATTGACTTCAATTACTTTTTTCGTTCTTGAAAAAAGTAAAAATTTTATGAGAAACGTGCTAAAATTTCATGGGCTTTTCTATCTTTTTCAGTCGTTCAGCATTTGATACCAAAAGATTTACTCATATTGGCATGTAAAAAGTAAATAAAATCCACATATTGATGAAAAAAAAACCAAAGCTTCTAGTTCTAGCCAGCCTTGTACAAGTTTGAATCGGTCAAGTTAAACTTGAAAAACAGTTACACCAAGTCAAGGATAAGCCCTCCCTAAACTGTTGCAGCCACCACTCCAACATGCGCCATAACTCCCTCCTTATCCCGCTCCACAACCTCCCTCTCTCCTTTTTAAGTCCGGCTTACTACTCAAATTTCTTCACATTTACACTTTTCACATCAAGAAACTCATACAAGCAAAGAGCTCCCTCTTGAAAGTCCAAAAAAAATCCAAAAATGGCTTCTTTCTTCCAAAGTTTCTCCACATGTTTCCTCCTAGTATTCATCTTCACTTCACTCCATTTCTTAACAGGGATTTCGGTTGAATTCGACGTTGGTGGCAACACTGGCTGGGTAATTCCTCCTTCGAAGAACGATGATCTGTACAATGACTGGGCTTCCAAAAACAGATTTAAAGTCAATGACACCCTGAGTAAGTACTTGTCAATTCTCCATTTCATTGAACTTTTTTTTTAGTAGTAATTGAAACTCAATGCAAATACACGTATACATGCATGTGCAGTTTTTACGTACAAGAAAGACTCTGTTATGGAAGTGACCAAGGAGGAGTATGAGAAATGCCGATCGCTGCATCCTATGTTCTTCTCCAACAATGGCAACACAATCTATACATTGGACCGATCGGGTCTGTTTTATTTCATCAGTGGGGTTTCAGGGCACTGCGAGAGAGGCCTCAAGATGGTAATCAAGGTCTTGGATGTAGAAAGCAGCCCTCAGTCTGCAAATCAGACGGCAAATACATCATCTCCTGCAAAAAGTGCTGCGGCTACGTATTTTGGAACTAGTATGATGATGGTCATTTTGGCAGTGTTTGGGGTGATTATTGTCGTTTAATGCTTGATCCCATTTTGTGATTAGTTTAGATGGATAAATGGATGTGATAGCTAGCAATCAGGAGATGATCTTTTAACTCCTGAATTTGTTTTCTTGAATTGAAGAATGTTTTGGTTCTGATTACGAATACACTTACCTCCCTTGACATAATAAAATACCTATAATGCCCTCTATTTAGTAGATAATTTTAAATTTAAGACAATAAATTTACAAAATCTAAAAAAAAATTCTATTTTTCTGTCTCTTGTCTATTTTTTAATTAATATTATATTTTTTTATTATCTTTAGTTTTGTAGATATTAGCAAATTGAAATTATAAAATTTATAAAGGGAGTAGATTATATGTCAAACTAAAAGAAAATGAAGAGACTCGCAGTGATAGAGAAACAAATAATGAAATTGATGATTGAAATAGGAAAAGGAACTAAAGATGTAGAATTTGTCATGTTTTGTTTGTTGTCAAGAAAAACTTTTATAAAATATCAATAATTACATAAGGATTTCTTTCACTGAATTAGAAATTTTTTTTATTATGATTTTAGTATAGATGTAGAATTTATTCTCTAGTTTTGAGATATTAATAACTTTAAGGCCATAAAAGGGTTGTTAAAAATTGATTGTCACATGAAAAGCTATCCCTTGATGCGTGAAATTCCCGAGCTTTCGAGTGAAAAGCAAAGGAACCAGGAAGTTGTCGAGCAAAAATGCTCTTCTGAATGCTATATGCTCTCCGTGACTGTAAGCCCAGAAAAAAAAATATATGTTTTAGCTTTTCAATCAGTGGAAGAGGAAGGGAAGTTTCAACACATCATGCATGATATGCGACAGCACTTCATGAGATGAAAGTATGTTCATCTAAACAGAAACATGCATGGTTTTTAAAGACCACTCTTCCTCGCATACATGTTCACTAGTTCACATTTTGTTATCCACTTTGTACCCCTAGTTACCAAAAAATAAAACCTGTTGGGCATGCGTCTGTTAAGAAACTCCAATCTAAACAATAACATTATTAGTTAAGTGGCCTTATGTTTATGCATAATTATAAATTCTTGTTTTGCATTCCTCGAATTTCTTTTTGGAATAGTGGTTAGAAAATCTAAAGTTTTTCAATTGAAGAATGAAAATATTTAAAATTTACTTCTGGGCACATATGTCAATCAACTCAAGTTTATGCATGTAAAAACATTCTACATCTTGTATTATCATTTTAAGTACCCCTAACGAAATGAATGATGTTTGAATAGAGTATTATTTGAAATAACTATTGTAGCATTTTTTGCGATGTGATGTATATAAGATATAAAGATAGTTAAAAATATAAAAAGATGGGTTAGAAAATATGTTTATAATGTAAGTGAAATATTATTTGAAAAATTTTGTTCTCCATTCATGTCTCTAAAATTGTTGGTAACATAGTTGGATTTGACAAGAATCAAGTACTTTGGATCTGCCTTAAAGAGGGCGGGATGGGATGAATGGTATCTGGGAAAGGAATGTAAGTGAGAGGTTCCGAATTCGAAA